TGAATGACGAGGTTGTTTCAGTAAAGAAAGGCTCGGTGGTGGAGCGTCACACCCACTTCCATTGCGAGGTTCAATAAGCGGGTGCAACCGGGAGGAGTCGGTTGGATTCCGGCTTAAGCTATTATTCCTCTATCTCGCAATTTTTTTTTCATGCACAGGGAATATCCTGCAAGGATGCATTGAGAACACGGAGGCTTGATGCCAGAGCAGTTCAAGTTTTCTTCTCCTTCTTCCTTTTTTCTCTCTTTTCTTTCTTTCTGCTGACCTGAGCAACTGCGCAGATTGACTCGACTAATTTCATGAGAGATTAAAGCCACGCATAAGCTGTTGCAGATAAGGAGGCTAACTTGAGACTGAGGCTTGAAGGCTTGGTGGTGGATGATCCACACCCACTTTCCCTGTCGATTCCGGGATGGAAATTATTAGTGGTAGATGGTGGTTCCATTGCCTGCGCCATTCATTCTGTAGACCCCTTTTTTTGACCTGGATAGAAAATAACATGGTTGACATGGGACATATAGTGGTTGAATTTCAATCTTGACTCGAATTTGGGATGGTTCAAGTTAACTTATGATTTGGGTCAAGAGTCACGGTCTGGTTCAACTGATTTCTTGAGGGCTGCACAGGAAATCTTGCGGATAATAAGTCGTTTTAGGGTGAGGATGGCCGTGGTAAATGATTTATACCTGTTCTGTCAGGTGCAGCGTGGTTCAAGCGGGAGAAGCCGGTTCAAATCTGGCCTGAGCCATTATTATGGCGAAGGGTGGTTTTTTTTTTGGTTTCCCTCAACCAAGAGATGGTTTCAGATACTTTCTGTTCCTTGTTCGGACACTAAGTACTTCCTTCGGCTGTAAACAGGTCAAAAGTTGTTTGACTTTTTTCGGTTGACTTGACTTGACTGCATTGAATAACCTGACTGCACCGTTCAACTCGACTCATCTCCTGAGGACAGGAAAAATGTTACATATAACGACGTTGATCTTAGAACAAGGAGGGCTCGGTGGTGGATGGTCCATGCCTACATCCTGTATAAAACCTCTGGGAGAAGTCGGTTCGAATCCGGCCTGAACCATGAGTTTATCCGTATGAGTTTTTTGTTTCCCTTGTCAAAGAGATGGTTTAGTTTCAGATTATTTCTGTCCCTTGGACTTCCTTTGGCTATAAGCAGGCCGAAAATTTACAGTAATTTTGCTTTTTTGGTTGACTTGACTTTGACTGACTGCGCTGTCTAACCTGATTGCACAGTAGACAGTAACTCGACTGATTTCTTGAGAGCCTTCAGAGAATACAAATGATCTTACAGATAATGAGGTTGATCGTGGAGCAAGGAGGGCTTGGTGGTGGATGGTCCATGCTCGCCTATACCCAGTCCAGCAAAAGTACGGGTGGGAGAAGTCGGTTCAAATCCGGCCCTGAGCCATAAACCTTCCACTTGAAGAGTTTCTTTCTTTTTCTTTTCTTTTTTTGCTGCACAAATAAGAGGGTTATTCATGTACAATATTTTTACATTGATTCAAGCACAATTTGACAGTCATACTATGCTGGGTACCTCCCACCCTTGTAGGTAAGTTAGTGAGCAATTAGACACCACAAATACCAGCAAGAATGAAAAAAAGGACGCCAAAAAGGAAGCAAAAAAAGGGAAACCCCGAGGGGGTTTCACAGTTCTCCCTTTTTTCTTTCCCTTTTTGATTTCACCAATCTCCCATTTCAATGAGTTTTGCACCTAGGGTTGTCGTTTCTTCTCTTTTCTACCCTTTTTGTATCCCCAAGTTGAAAAGTATGGCGGTCACATTACACATCAATTATTTTCAAAACAAAACCCCTGTTTCTGTACATTTTGACCTGTTTTCACACATCTTTCAACGCTTTATGAAAAAGTTTTCAAGTTGTAAATATTTTCGTGAGGACGAGGAAAACAGAACTGAAATCCTTTCTCAAAACCTTTTTTTTCTAAACTTCCCAGAAAAAAAACTTTTTCGGAAAGACAAAAGCGGAAGGTCACATGATACATCACGTGGCGTGGTAAGTAGGATACAAGACCAAACATGGACTTCCAGCGGTAGTTTTTGAGATTTCGCCCTGGTCACGTGCACCCGAAAAGGGAATTTGCGTGTCATGTTTGCCTGAGGCCTCAACTCGGCCGAATCATTGTGACACCGTCACCTCACATCCCCACACCCCACCACCACCACCACGATGCCATGCCGTGCATTCATGTTCCCGTCGCCCTCATATCCCGCTCGCTATGTTTCTCATCTCTGCACCGGCTCCTGACTCTCTGAGCGCTGTGAGTCACTGCCGTGTGGGTCGGGTCCTGCAGTATGACTGCGTATGTAGTATGTGGTGTGCCACCGACCTGCCTATCCTCCATGTACGCGATGCGATGGCTGTCCCCTCACCGGCTCTCCCGCTGGCTCCACTGACGCTTATCAACGCGTCCGATCCTCACACCGTCGGAAGATGTAAATTCGGTGATGAAGCACGCTAAGTACGCGCGAGTTGTCGACTCGTTGGGCTGCCAATCGGCAAAAATTGCTGGGTGTCTCACTCCAGCCGTGCCGACAACCTGCTAGCACAACTGGAGTCCATCCGCTTGTCGTAGTCACTACATAGTTAAGCATGCATTATTCCCTGCCATGCTGAGACTTCGAATGAGGCGTAATGAGGATTTTTGAGGGCATTCATACACGGTGGCAAGACTCCCTTGACTTGGGCGGATTTGTTGAAGCTGTCACAGAGGCCGGTCACCTCCAGCCGTGAGTTTCCCATTTTCAGCGAAAAACCACTACATGACACGCGAATTTCCTTATTGGGAGCACGTGACCAGGGCGAAAAGTAGGCAACTGCCAGCGGTTGCAATGGTCTTGTGAGACACACTAACAATTGAGATGAGGTGTTTGACAGGCTACTAAATGTCCTAGCACCCAAGGTCTACTACCAACACCCAATATTTGTTGGATACTGGAGTCACACAAACTCCATGTACTGTACCATTTCGACCAAGTGTTCAGTCACTGGTCACAACCGAGCCCAAATTGAACACTTTTCAAAATTGTCACAGGTTTTGGCCATTCTGGATCGAGGTTTTTGAGCTTTTCCGTCTCGAAAAGGGAATTTTCCGCTCTGGCTGCTCCGGAATATAACCCGAAAGGGAGATTTGAACACTTGGATTTTGAACACTTGAGGTCACAGGTCACACCCCATGAACACTTGGTCAAAATGGTACAGTATGTCACAGTGACTACGGCGCGGCGCCCTGACGGGGCGTGACTCTGGGCGGCAATGGGCGGTATTCGATGGTACTCATTCGGACTCATATTCCAGGTATCGCAAATGGTATATAAGTAGGATATTTTTGTGCTAGATACCTTGTCGGGATTGCAGCAGAGCAAGCCCAATCACATTTCTGCTTTGTCAGCTTGTCTGAATCTCACAATATTCACCCATTTGGATTTATGGGGGTTCAAAAACAGATCTATGTACACAAGGGCTACTGAGTGCTTTCCAATGGGTCTCTCACCCCACCGCAACTTTAACACATGGTGGACTGCTTGTATAGCATTTTGAGGTCTCAGGATACACTGGGAGGTCTATAAGGGCTCATTTTCATGCAAACTTCCCAAAAAGGTATATGATCACATGATGAGATCACTTCACCCAACCCGAAAAAAAAAATCTGCGAAAAAAGAAAAAAGTTTTTTTTTCTCTTCAAGTTTTCTTTTGTTGAGGGTGAACTGCTATATTTTGTTGAACAATGAAAAGATGTTGTTTTTTTTTTTTTTTTTTTTTTGGAGCGTTTGGGATAATGAAACTCAGTCTGCAAAGCATTCGAAACTCATCCGCTTGGTCTACTGAAAAATTCCAGTTGTTGCCGGGGAAGGTGTCCAGGGAGGAAATGCCATTACGCACAAAACCATAAAAAAGTGTGGGACTCCAGCTGTAATTTATCATCCTATCCCATTATTATTTCTTCCAGATTTTATTGGCTGTATACCCACTAAAACCCCCTCAGTGTATGTCCAATCATCCGGCAAAGAGTCTTCATCCTGAAGTAGACCGGTCCATGTTCTGAGTACGAGATCTTTGTTGAAGGCAAGTTTTCCAAACTTAATTTTATTGGTGAGGATACGATCTCGCTTGAGGGTGTCGTTGACAGATTTCAGCCATTTGTTGTGTATCCCAGTCTCCATTATCACTTTGTCCGGATTTTCAGAACCTGGTCATTTCGAATGTTCCATATCAGGTGCCATGATGTTGAGATCAACATGGCGAATAGCCTGTTCATTTCAGGTCCAGCCGACCTTGATTGAGGTGTAAACTTGATTAGGTTACATCCCAGAATTAAGCCCCAGTTCATCTGGGGCCAGTTGGGGTATTTCATCTCCCACAATTGTTGTGTAAGGTTCCAGATCAGCTTTGCACCGGAGGCATCGCACTCGAGTGCAATGTGCTCCAAAGTTTCAGGTACTTGGCATGTCGTACAGATGCCGTGTATTTCGGAGTTTTCAATGTGTAACCAAAAATCACCTACTCTGAATGTGTTGTGTATGCTTTTCCAAAATAACTCTCGGTGAACCCGTTTCAGTGTCATTGATCTGACTGACTTCCAAATCATCTGATCTGTTGGGGTATAGTTCGATACCTCTTGTATCGAGCATCTAATACGATCTAAAATGAAAAGATGTTGTGAAGTGTGAAAAAAATGTTGTTATGAAGTGTGAAAAAATGTGTGAAAAGGCGTGAAAAAATATAGAAACAGGTGTTTTATTGGGAAAATAATTGTTGTGCAATGTGACCGCCATAGAAAAGGGGGGAAAAATCCGGAAAAAAACCGAAGGAAAACAAAAAGTAGGAAAAAAGGGAAAGAAAAAGGGAAGAAAAAAACGACCCTAGTCTCGGTTACCTTTTTCTTCTTCTTTGTCCTTTTCAAATGACTCTTCTAGTGGGAAAGATACCAAAATTGTTACGGATAAAGAGATTCATTTCAGGATGAGAGAGGCTCAGTGGTGGATGGTCTACACCCACACTCTGTGAACACAAGATGTAAAGCCGGAGTACAAGTGGATTCGAAGCTGGTTCGATTCCGGCCTGAGCCATGGTCTTTCAGACTCGGTTTTTTTTTGAATTTTTTGTTTTTGTTTTGTTTTATACAGGCCTTAATCCTTCCCTCCGTTCAGCTGAGGATGCGTTTACGGGTAGATTTTGGAATAGTTCTCTTTCCAGCGCGACTTGAGCTGTAACCGCCAGCACACAGTTGAACTGGCAAAGAAGATGATTCAGAAGTCGACAACTGAGTAACAATTATAATTGGATGGATACCATTGAGCCTCACACTCCCAGCACACGCGCACCGTCGACGTCGCAACTGGGCCTCGCGTGCAAGGCAAAATGAACGTTGAAAGCAAGTTGAACACGGTGGCAGTGCCGTGCCGTCCTCCCCGGCTGAAGAGACGCTGTTGTCCTCCAGCTGCAACACGCGCAAATAGCCACATACGCGCTCGTCCCGCCATCACTCATGCATGCGCTGAATCGGGCATACTCTGGAATTGAACTTGTGCTCCGTGGCTTGACTGGTTTATTGAACGAAACAGACGAAATAATGAATGAAAGAACGCGCTATTCGCGGCCGCGGCTTCGTGTCAAGTAGTGGTGCGATTCAGAGTCAAGTGGACACTGAGGATGACATGGACGCGTCCACGATCGGGACGTGCTTGACAGCCCGAAATCCCGAATCGGATTTGGGGTTAATAAATAACTTGTCTTGCCTTTTCTCTCCGACAGCCACATTTCTCTTAGCCTCTCTGCACATCGCCGCTTTCTCTCGACGTCGACGCGACAGCTTTCTTTCTTTCGTCGACACGACAAGCTAGCTTTCTTCACACCTTGGACTCGACTAGAACCGCTTGGACACTCCTGGGATGACCTTCGCGGTGCTGCGGGCGCTGCACGGCATCGTCGGCGACGCGCTGGACGACATCGAGCGCGTCTATGCGCAGGAGAGCGCAAATGCACATCCCCAGCCACCCACATCTACTACTACTCACACGCACGCGACGCAAACGCACACCAGCACCCACTCCAAGACGCCGTCCTTCTCGCGCGCCTATGTCAGTCCGCCGCCATCTCCGGGTGGTCCTCCACCGTCTTCGTTCTCCTCCTCCTCGTCTTACTATAACACCACCCCATCTGTCGACTTCCCCTCGCTCGACGCACCATATGCGCCCAACTCCGCGTCCGAACAGCTCACGGCGCACCCCGCCGTCGTCGCCGCCATCAACCGCATCGTCGCCGCTGCGGGCCAGCTCGCCGCCTCCGTCCAACCGCCCTTCCTCTCGCTGTGCGATGCGGGGATGGGGTACCATCTCCCGAGCTGCCTGCGGCTGCTGGAGGCCGCGCATGTCCCGGAGGTGCTCAGGGAGGCGCAGGGGCCGGTGCATGTAAAGGAGATTGCTAGGAGGACGGGGGTCGGGGAGGCGAAGCTGGGTGAGTGCGCCCTTCATCCTATTGTTCTGCCGCTCGTTATTCGTTGTTCTTGTCCTGTTATTAGTCTGCACATTGCTGACAATCTCGCACATACAGCGCACATCCTCCGCCTCCTCGCGACGCACCACCTCCTGCGCGAGACCGCCCCCGACGTCTTTGCCACCAACCGCATCTCGTCGCTCCTTGATACCGGCAAGAGCGTAAGGGAGCTCGTGGCGAGGTGCGTCTCGTTTCTCTGTTCCGTTGCGTCTCTTTCTCCATCTCTCTCCCTTTCTCTGTCTGCCTTTCTCGTTCTCGTTCGCGACTCTGCACTTTTTTCTTTCATTTCTTCTCTCGATTTCCTTATTTTTTCGTGCACCTGGCCCGCCCATCGCGTACCCGAAATTCCCGCCCCGCCCTCCTTCTTTCCATATGCGTCCTTGCTTCCTTTACGCCTACCCCTCCTGCGCTTCGATTACGCGTACGCTTCGACGCTTCCAATTACGCACTTGCGTCTGCCATCTTGGTTTGGCGCGTGATTGTCTTTTACGACTTTTACGGATTTCGGACGTTCTTCTCCAGGACGCGCTTATTTCTTGGGTGACGGCTGACACTGACGCGCTGACGTCCGGGCTTGTCGGGGGCCGATATGGGAGGTCGGTTTTCGGGTTTTCAGGTTTCTTTTCAGGAAGGAGGGTATCGCCATTCGGGAGGATTTTCGCCACTCGAGTTTTTTTCTTCAGGGCGGCAGTGGATTTTTATTTCATCCGATTTTAGGGAGATTCCCTTTTTTCCCTTTTTATTTTCGGGTTCGGCGCTTGGTCATTTTATTCGCACTCTTGAGTGGAGGGGTCTTGCTCTTTCTTCCTAAATCGTTCGAAGATTTATTTCTCTCTGTTAATTATTTTCTCTCCCTTTTGTTCTCGTCTGTTATCTCTTTTGCTTCTTCTTTCTCTTCCTCGTCTTCTGCTTTTCTGGCGAAATGTGATAACGAACGATTTACTGATTTTTTTCTTTTTTTTTTGCGCGCAGCCCGGAACGCAAGTATGACGGCGACGCGGGCGCGGTGGCTGCTTTTGTGGGATTGTGGTAGGTTTTCTTTTTCTTTCTACTTGTTTCTTTTTCTCCGAGGCTCGTTTGCGAGACGCGTTCCATCCTTGGGAGGGAGACTCACAGTCTGCTCCTTTGAGAACGAGAGGGGAGAGACGATAGAAGAGAGAGTCTACTCATGCACCCAGCCATCACGCTCGCTTTTCCTTGCGTATGTGAGCAATCGAGAGTCGGTGGCCGCCGGTTTTCTCTCTCTCTTTCTCGCTCTCTTATTTCTTCTGAACCCTCTTTTATCTATTCATTCGGACCCAAACTAACCACACCCTCCACATGTACAGCACGGACGAGCTCGCCAAGTCGAGCGCGTACCTCACCGAGGCGGTCTTCCCCGGCGCGGCGAGGGTGTATCCCGGGCTCGGAGTGGGGGTGACGCTGGGGTCTACTCCTACTTCCACGCCCACTCACGTTACTTCTACGCCGAAATCCCCCTCCAGTTCCTCTGTTCCCCACGTAGCGACTCCGCATAATACGCCAGCGGGAGGACGCCCAAGCGCAAGTGGACCTGGCGTCGCAGCGACAAGTCCTTGTTCGAGCGCTAACACAGGCGCCAGTACGAACGGCAACGCAGGAGGAGCAGGCGCCGACCCCACGCGTGCGCCGTTCAACTACGCGTTCGGGTGCGGCGGCGTGGGGTATTTTGGGTGGTTGGAGGGGGAGGGATTTCCTGGTGCGTCTGTGGGTGGGGGTGTTGCCTCCGCGAGTGGGGCTCTTCCTCCTTCAGGTACAAGCCCGAGTGCCAGCGGCGCGAAGGATAACCCGAACCCGAACCGCTTCCGGCTGGAACGCTTCGGGCGCGCGATGGCGGGGACGGGGAGCTGGGAGGCGCCTGGGGCGGTGCTGAGTGGTGCGTGCCGTTTCCTTCCTTTCTTCCTCAACTCGATTCTCTCTCTTGTCGCTTCTCTGTGCTGCTCTCGTCATTGACCTCGCATCTCCGCAGGCTTCGACTGGGCGTCGCTCCCGCGCGGGAGCACCATCGTTGACGTAGGCGGCGGGATCGGGTCGACGAGTATGTTGCTGGCGAGTGCGTTTTTGGAGGGGGAGGGTGGTGAAGAAGCAGAGGGGGATGAAGAGGGTACGTTCGTTTCGTTGGTGGTGGTGGTGGTATAAATCGCATGCATGCTCACAATGACCACAGACAGCCCACCCGCGCCGGCGCTGCGCTTCGTGATCCAGGACCGCCCGGTCGTCGTCGAGATGGGGGCGCGGGCGTGGCGCCAGAAGTGCCCCGAGCTGCTCGAGAGCGGGGCGGTGCGGTTTATGGGTGAGTCGCGGGTTTTTACGTCTGTCATCTCCGTTTCCTTTTCAGGAATGTTGCTGTCTTTTACATTTTTATCGCCTGCCACAACACTAACTCCACCCCATCTCTCCCCCAGTCCACGACTTCTTCACTCCGCAGCCCATCACCGACGCCGCGGTCTTCCTCCTCCGTGTCGTCCTGCACGACTGGCCCGACGCGTTCGCGCAGCGCATACTCCTGCGGCTCCGGGAAGCCGCCGCGCCGTATACGAGACTGGTGCTCGCAGACTTTGTGCTGCCGTTGGCGTGTGTGGATGATTTTGGGGTGGAGGAGGAGGGGGCGAGTGGGAGTGGGAGTGGGAGTATGAGTAGTAGGGGGGATGGTGGAAAAGAAGGGGAGGGGGAGAAAGGACGAAAAGGAGGAGACAAGGAGAAGGAGCCGCAGGTCGAGGGTGCGGAGAAGACGCTCGCGCCGGCACCGCTGCTGGCTAACCTTGGCAAGGCGAGCGCGAACGCGTATTGGATGGATTTGACGGTTCGTTTTGTTTCCTCCCTCTTCGCTCTCCGTCCTTCCGACTCGCCCGTCGCTGTCATTTACGCCAACTGCCGAGCTCAAGTTGACTAACATGCGCTCCAGATGCAAGTGACGTTCAATGGGCAGGAGCGCACACTGCGCGAGATCGTCGCGCTCGCGCTATCCGCAGGGTGGAAGGTGGTGCGCGTGACTAAGGCGCCCGGCTCACTCTTTGGGCACATCGTCGCCGTACCCGTCGCGGTGCCCGTCCCACCTCAGCGCCGCGCGCGCGCAGGCAGTGGATCCGCGTTCTTCGAGATGGGAAATAGCAACGCAACACATGGCGAGGCAGGGCTGGGGATGGGGATGGGCGGGACAGAGCGCGAGCAGCGCGAGATGGAGATGGGCATGGTGGAGCGCGCGAGCAGTCGTTGTGGGACGCCGACGTTCGGCTCGCGCGTGGATTTGCCGTCCGTAGCGGAGACGCGCGCGCGGTTTGGGGGCGCTGTGGGTGTCGGCCGGCGGGCGTTTGGGTTCGGAGGCGCATCATCGGGATCCGGCTCGCGCGGCCCGCCGCCGCCGCCGCCGTTGAAGCAGGCTGCGGTGCTGACGGCGCCACCCGTAAGGAAGAAGAAGCCCTCCCCGCTTTCTGTAGTCCCTCCGCCGTCGTCGCCATCGCCGAACTTGTATCGCCCGAACGTCGTCTCTCCGCGCCCTCCTGTGCAGCAACAGCAGCAGACGTCCCCAATGGCGCGCCGAATGTCGCAGGCGCCG